AGCTTGGGCTATGCGTGTTGGGCGTGTGACCTTGAAATAGACAAAAAGTTGCAGAATGGACCTTAGCGATTTCCCATGTTAATTTACATAAGAGCTGTGCTTGAACTGTTGCTGCTCCTTTACTAGGCACGTCCAGAAAGTAAGTTCCGTTTGGTAATAAAATTAAATTGTGTACAGACACAGAAAAATTATTTATTGCACAAAATTCTACAACTCTTAAACTACTTTTCCACATAACTGCCGAAATTTTGCAGGCATTTGTCATAGCGTGGTACAAGTTTTTGTATACCTTCTTCATAGAAGTTTGCCGCCTGTGTCTTCAACCAGTTGGAAACAGTTTCTTTCAGCTCGTCGTCATTGTTGAAGTGTTGACCGCCAAGGAAAGACTTGAGATGTAAGAACAGATGAAAGTCGCTAGGAGCGAGGTCTGGGCTGTACGGAGGATGGCCAAAAACGTCCCAGCCAAATCCCTGTAGGAGGTTTTTCGTCACATTTGCAGTGTGTGGTCGTGCGTTGTCGTGAAGAAAAACAACACCTTTTGACAGCAATCCTCGGCGCTTATTCTGTATTGCGCGGCGCAATTTCCCAAGTGTCTCGCAATAAGCATCTGCTGTGATTGTTTGACCACGCGGTAAGAAATCAATGAGTAAGATGCCTTTCCAGTCCCAGAACACTGTGCACATTATTTTTCGAGGTGTCAAGATTTGCTTCGGCTTAACCTTTGCTGGGGATGAAGTGTGCCTCCATTCCATTGATTGCCGCTTACTTTCAGGGATGTCGTAGAAAACCCAAGTTTCATCTCCTGTGACTATCTGTGTCAGAAATTCTTCGCCACCTTCATTATAACGGGTCAAAAACTGAAGTGCACTACCCATCCCTTTTGTTTTGTGTTGCTCAGTAAGAATCTTTGGTACCCAACGTGAGCCAAGTTTACGAAATTTCAGTTTTTCGGTAACAATTTCATGAATTAGTGATCGTGAGATTTGGGGAAATTCCATAGCGAGAGCACTAATTGTAAACCTGCGGTTTTCCTGGATCTTTTCATCAATCGCGTGAACCAGTTCTTCTGTAACCAAAGATGGACGCCCACTTCGTTCTTCATCGTGCACGTCACTACGTCCTTCATTGAACTGTCGGACCCATCTTCTCACCATTGAATCACTCATCGCATTTTGTCCGTAAACATCGCAAATTTGCCGATAAATTTCAATTGGTTTCACTTTCCTCGCATTCAGAAAACGAATCACAGATCTGATTTCACAAGCGGCGGGATTTTCAATCAACACCGACATTATAAACAAGCACAACAAAGCGTACGTTACTGACAGCGACCTACAAATGGCACACGTTTCTTCTCCAGGATACAGAGCGTCTACCGCGGATGTGCGGAACTGCGATCGCAGCGCTGGAGCGGAGATAAATTGAAACGGAACTTACTTTCTGGACGTCTCGTATTTTATTTTAGTTTTATAAAGCTTTAGTAATACTGTATTTAACCCCAAATACGTTTTAAAAAATATTTCAATGCGATAAAAACCTCTCGGAAGATCCTAGTGACTTCAATGTTTGTAACGGTTGGAACCGTTATTTCGACACAATCACCTCTTACTTAAATGTCATTTGTCGTTGTTTATGCCTTGTGTCGAAAGTTCATATTTAATTTCATTTTATTAAAAGAGATCAATTAGATCACAATTATTTTAATCTATCTTGGTCATTTGAAGTATTAGATGGTTTTTAATATTCTTAAAATCCGTCTGATTTTATAAGCATGGCTATATCTAGACGTATATTTGGATTTATCTCTAAACGTTTTTTGGGTTTAATCTCTAGAAGGTTTTGGTTCCATCTCAATAAGGTTTTGGTTCAATTTCCAGACGGTTTTGATCTCATATCTAGACATTTTATGTTCGAATACTGAAGATCATTCACAGTGCAGAATTATACAGAATTACGAATAAGGATCCCAAATCCCTTGTGGAAGTTGCCTGAAGAAATACCATGATATAGATTTACATTCTGTATATTACCTAACTTGCCAAAAGATAAGCGAAGAGGTTGAGTGGTGTGTACACACTGGGTAATAAGAAATGAATCGAGAGTATTTAAAGTGTGTAAATTGAGTTTTATTAATAAAACTTTGTAAAAATTTATCTAAGCGCTTTCAACCTATTAGGCCATCATCAGAGACTATAGAAGTTAAGTTAAAAAGGACAGCAACAGACTTGTCCCAAGTCACCACCATAGCTTGTAGCTAGGATAATTAAACATAAAAGAACCACACCGAACATGTAGTTGTTAAAATTCAACCACATGTTCGGTGTGTTATGCAATTTGTATTTGGGATAATCTTGAAAAAGTGGCTTTCAAGAAGGGGCGGCATGTTCGCTGCAAATTATATACAAATAATCTTAAAGACGGCCCTGTCTGTGTGCAGATTTGTGCCGATCGAATAGCCATATAGCTATTTAGTTGATTTACTGCTCTCTGACTAATAACACCTATATTCAATACAGTGCATACAAAATTTCAAGGGTTTTTATTTACCTATCGGAAACTATCGGAAACTTCTACTGCTGAACAGACAAGTGTGCCACCAGTAGTAGTCGAACAAGAGAAATCTTAGGCAGAAGTGCCAGAAATTACAAAACAGGCCACGGAAGTTGACCAGGCAGAAGTACCAACAACATCTAAAAGGCACAAATCCAGAAGGGTCACCTCCGAAGAGAAGATTGGCCTAATTTCAGACACAGAAGTCAGATTCTTTGTCATATCCGGTCGAACGAGAGCAAGGCTAAACAACCTGGTAAAATCATTCATTGCTGCCAAACAAGACATAATCAAGGAAAACTTTGTCAGATCCCAAGTTAGGTCACCTCAAACTTCGACTACCGAGGTCAGCCAGGTCGATAAAAAGACCACAAAAATGCCAAGATCAAAAGGAAATACTCCCCCTGCAGATCGGAAAGTGGAAAAGAAGGCCAAAATTGAAGGTTTAACCTTCAAAGAGGTCCTTATTACTACAAAGATCGAAGTGGTTAGAACCGGCTTTCCAGAAACACTGATGGAAACGGAGCAGCAAACAGATGTCGAAAAATCCATCATAAGTGCCTAAGACGGTATTCCCATCGAAAGACCACAGGTGCGTTTTGCCAAATGCACACACAGGCCGGGATAAAAAGTAGTACGTTGTGCAGACAACCTCAGTGCACAATGGTTGAAGGATGTGGTGTCCACGCTTAGGCCCTGGGAGGGTGTAACCTTGATGCTTGGCAGGACATCCACATCCCAAAATTAAGGATATGTACAATTTACATAGCAGATGAGGGTGGAAAGAAGCTGGATGCCCAAAGAGTCCTTAACAGACTGAGGGCTAGCAACAACACCCTTAAAATCAACCTATGGAAGGGTCTGACTCCAACTTCAATGAAGAAAGGCCAAACAGGCCATTTCCGTGGACAAAGGGTCATATACCAAACTCTAGAAGCTAGACATGTCACCATACTTTGGAATAGGACGTATAAAGTGCCATCTCAAAGAAATGGAACACAGGGAAAAGGAGAATAACATGGCAAAACCGGTCCAAAAAGACTTCAAAACAAAGCCGGTGGTGCAAAAGATCAAGGCCAAAAGGTGCCGAAACTGGCCAAAAAACACCAGACCCCAGAAATCCCAAAGGACGAACGTCGCCAAGGACAAAGAAGGCAAGAAGTCCGCCAAAGACTCCTCTACCAAAAGTAGCAGGAGCCCTCTCAGAAGGCCGCAAAGCCCCGAGTCGGCTTCCACAATGAAGTTGGAAAAAGGTCAAAAGGCCGATCTCACGGCGCCTTCATTAATTACAGCGGAGCATAAAGGTCCTGCAGGCGAACCACCACCATGCTAAGGCAGTGTCTGCCATAATATGTAGGGCGTTCGATACGGCAGGCCTGGATATATCCCTCCTGCAGGAAGCTTGGCTTGTTTGTGGAAAAGTCGCGGGTCTAAAACCGCAATAGGGTAAGCTATTGTACAGCAAGGGAATGAAAAACCCCGCTCCTATATCGCTTGCTGAGAACAATAGTGGCGAAACACAGAAATTGAGTATTTTAAGTTAAGTTCACCAAACAACACACAAATGAGTCCTCTGCTGCGTGCTAGAGAGGCGAAAGGCTATCTCACCTCCTTACGCCTAGATGGCAGCGTATGTCATTGTAGTAGGGGTAAAACGAAGCACCGGCATGTGCAGTAGAGACGAAGAACACATTATTGGTAAGCTTCCGTTGAGTAAATAGCGAAAAGTTTATATCAGTTTTGGCGAATTGTTAGTTACGTCGCTGATGCACACATATAGCATATTTTTCTCTTTGAAGATAGATCAGTACTGACGAATTTGTATTTAAGACAATAGTGCCCCAATAGTTGTACGATAAATCAAGACAGTGGTGTCGCAAACAAAGGTTTCGCCGTTTATGTCATAAATAAGGTAAGCTCTTGTTGATGCATTTGTGGGTTATGTTGGTTTTTGTCGCTGCTGCGTTGTAGAGATGTTCGTTACTTAAAAATCGTTGCATTATGTTAGAGTTACGTCATTACTGCACAGCGAAATTTCTTTAAAGCTATTCATTATAACAATCATTAGAATTATCTACAAAGCGTCCGTGAAGTAATCGTATAATTTCATATTTAGCTAAACATACATTTTTGAAAGAAATTCCCGTGACAAGTCGATTTTCATTTTAATTGGCAGTATTTTCACATAAGTCAAAATACAGGGTGAACCATCTTCGAGTGACGACTTCGACAGTTTTTAAATAATTATATTTATTTTTTATTTTTAGTATGCCTTGCCAATTTGATTTTTCAAAAATGTTTCAAAAGTTGGGTGAAATTTATTTGCATTGAAAAAAAAAACACAAATACTAACAATTAAATTATGCGTTACTTCAAACGATAAGGATGCACTGTATAGAACTTTAGTCATAATTATTTTACATAAGCATGTTTCATTTTCAGTCTGAAAAATGAGTGGACGGTCAGAACAAATTCTCTCCGCACTTGGAATAAGGTACGTTTTAGATTTATTTCAAGAGGTATATTATCAGCCATATAATTTTTTTAAACTCTAATTAAAACTGTTTTACTGTCTAGATTAAATCGCCCATTGAAGAGTCAAACAAATAGCTTTTTAAGATTAAGCTCCACTAAATCAGGGAAGGACATTTTGCAGTCTAAGCAAGCAGGTGGAAACATAGTAGGTAATAAAATATCTACCGATGCTTCTAATAATGCTCTCTTGTAATATAATATTTAAAGCTTTCTAAAATTATTTTAATAGTTAATGTATTTCGACATAAAGGTTAAGTAAAAAAATGTCTTGCAATCTAATTAGTCTTCTATTCACTGATAGTAGCTTAAATAATTTTAATTTGTTATTTTAGTTGAGAAAACCCAAAATCCAGGAACATCACAACAACCAGATTGTGAACAATCTTCAAATCTAAATTTAGTACAAGTTGTTGAAGGTTGTTTAGAGCTTAAACCAGTCAGTGAGCCAATCCGCCTTATGCAGACTGCAGGTAGTTGTAACAATTTTTCCTAATCCGTACTTATTAACTTAAAATTATTAGTAGTTAACCACACCATAAAATATTTAAATATAATATTAATTATCATTATACTTTTGTCGATAGGTTTGGATACAAATGAAACTATCCTTTCTCCTTCCACAAAGCCAGAAGAAAATCTCGATAGTAAAAAAGATTCAGTAAAAACGTCTAATACATGTAAACCTGGTCACAGTTCTTCGACTAGGTCAGGTTCTTCAACCAGCTCAGGTTCTTCTAGTAGCTCAGGTTCTTCAACTAGCTCAAATGCTTCATCAGGCGACTCATCATCAGGCAGTTCGTGTTGCTCATCTCAAGTGGATGACAGTGATGCAGACCCAACGTATGAGATTAATGAAGACAATGAATCAGAAGAACCAAACAGTGTCACAGAGCTAGATATCAAAAATAGGAAGTCGCGTAAGCGAAAACGAAATCCAGATGGATGGAAAAGAAATATCTCCAAACAACTAAGAAATAGTGGCAAGGAGTATCGTTCTCTCAAAACGGGAAAATTAGTCCCGCCTAAGAAAATTCTACCACCGTGCAAAGCTACCTGTAAACTGAAATGTACTACGAAGTTTAGTGAAGAAGATAGGCAACAGTATTTCAAAGATTTCTGGGAATTAGGATCCTTGGAACGTCAGAGGCATTTTATCCTAGATCACATGCAAAATATCCAACCAAAATATAGACATGTTGTAATTGATAGAAAGAAGGAGCGATCTTTAAACAAAGCATATTATTTCACAAAATTGTATCAACGCAAACAAGTATGCTTTTTATATTTTCGAAATACACTTGGCATAAGTGAAAGATTTGTCAGGACAGTAAAAACTAAAGAAAAAGATGGATGGTTGGATGTAGACTTGCGTGGAAAAAACAAACACTCAGTGGTTCCTGAAGAGATCAAATCTGGTATGAGGAATCATCTTTCCTCTATACCAGCTGTGGATAGCCATTATACCAGGGCCAATACACAAAGGAAATACATAGAGGGAGGTAAGACTGTTACAGATTTATATAACGATTATGTAAATTTATGTAAAGTAAAGAACGAAGGTCATGGTTCACTATCCCTGTACCGTCATCTATTTAATTACGAATACAATATGTCTTTCCACATTCCCAAAAAAGACCAATGTCTTAAGTGCACTACATACAAAAATTCAAATCCAGACGAACAACGTGAATTGGAATTGGACCATCAAATTCATATAGAAGAGAAAGAGTTATCGCGTGCTGAGAAAAACGACGACAAGACAAAACGCAGCGAATTATTCCAAGTTGCTTGCTTTGACCTACAAGCTGCTCTTCCGGTTCCTAGAGGAGACGTATCTTCTTTTTATTATAAATCGCGATTGAACTGTTATAATTTTACAGTTTGCGAACTTCAACAAAAAGAATTGGGACCAGTTGAATCATTTTTTTGGCACGAGGGCGAAGGACAGGCATCTGAAATAGGAACTTGCCTTTTAAAATTTTTGAAAAAAAAAGCTGATGTTGCTAACTCAGATAACTTGAATATCGTTCTTTACTCCGACAATTGCGGGGGACAAGGAAAAAATAAATTTATCATAACAGCTTTCATGTATGCCATAGCACATTATAAAATAAATAGTATAACTCATAAATTTTTTGTAGTAGGGCACGGACAAAACGAGGGAGATGCAAGCCACTCCGTAATTGAAAAAGCTATCAAAAAGGCCCTTAAAAATGGACCAATTTACATACCTGCACACTACGCTGCTATAATCAGTTGTGCAAAAAAAAAGGGAAACAAATTTAGAGTACATGAGCTGGCACACGACGATTTTTATGATTTGAAAGACCTTACAGAGAAAGTAACCAATTCTCCGTTCAATGAAAATTTTCGAGGTGCTAAATTCAACTTTAATGATATACGCATAGTTAAAGTTGAACGTGCTCATTTGGATCGTTTCTTCTATAAAATGTCCTATAAAGAACCTGAATTTCAAGCTGTAGTCATAAGGGATACTAAGACAAGACAAAGAAAAAAACTTAACAAATTGGAAGAATACAATTTGGTTCCAGCTTATTCAGGACCACTTCCTATTTCTAAAAGAAAATTTTCTGATTTACAAAGCCTGCTACAAAATAAGTCAATTCCTGCCGCCCATAAGTTATTCTATACCAGTTTACATAATGAAGAAGACGAACATGGTGATTAGTTTATTAGAAAATCTGGAAAAATTCATTATTTGTTTTTAGATTATTTTTTGTTGATTCTTTATTTTGTTTTTTATGTTCACCATTTACTTTGTTTGAAAGCCAATTCAGGTATTAATTTTAATGTTAATATAACAGAACTAGTGTTTGTTGTTTTTGTCGATTTGAATAAAATGTTTGACTTTTTTATGTAGTTTTTTTGTGCTTAAGTCTGTTTGAAAATCCACAAATCGTTTCGAAACTGATGCAATAGTGACGTAACTAATTAAAAAAAAAGAGTGGGGGTAATTTTTGGTCTCTACTACACTTAAATCAGTTAAATTACGATATTTAAGTCAAAAATAATTAAAAAAATGGGTTAAAAGGGCGAGCTATTAGCCAGTTATCGAACTTAATAGTTTTAACAAAACTTCAAACAGAATTATCTCAAAACTATGATTTTTGAGTTTCGCCCCTATAGTTCTCAGCAGGCGATATAATCTACAGCCACAGGGTTAATTGGACACTAATACCGGTGCTTTGCAATGGTGATTTTGTTACAGCTATGCTATCAATCCAAACGGAAAAAGAAGAGCTATGTTGTATGCTGCGCCTACTTCCCGGAAGAGGAGAGAATATGCCCCCCAGCAATACTAGGCAGAATCATTGCCCATTGCGAGGAGCAGAAACTTAACCTCATAATGGGATGCGATGCGAATGCACACCACATGATCTGTGGAAGCACCAACATCAATCCAAGAGGTGAGTCACTATTACAATTCATTCTAAGTGAAGGGTTAGAAATTTCCAATAAAAACAAAAAACCAACTTTTATCACTGCCAACTGAAAAGAAGTTTTAGATATGACCATGTCTTCGAGAGGCACAAATGACCAAATCAGGAACTGGCATGTGTCCGATGAACCATCGTGTTCAGATCACAAACATATCATATTCCATATACAATGTCCAACTCGTACAGCAGACAGGTTTAAAAATCCGAGAGAGACGAATTGGGAAGGGTACATAAAATCCCTCAAGGAGTCTCTCAAGGAGGAAACCACCAATCTACAAGAAACAAAAACACTCGAAAGGGCAGTGGACTTGGTTAACAAGGCAATTGCTGATGTCTACCAAGAAAACTGTTTTGAAAAAGAGAGATGGCAAACGAAAAAACAATCTGGTCGAATAAACACCTAAATAGCCTAAGAGGCGAGGTGCGAAAGCCATTAAACAGAGCCAAATTCACACAAGACTATAAAAATATAGTATAACAAGGAAGTACCCAAGGCTAAAAGAAAATAATTGAGGAAGTTCTGCAAAAAGGTCTCAGAGACCATCGCCAGCGCTAGAATCCATAGTCAAAGACAGTACATTCAGTCAAGTAAGATTCCTCAAAAAAGGGGTTAATACTTACACCATGACACTAGAAGAAAGTCTAGAGATACTAACTCGTCCACTTTCCGGCCTTAGCTTTCCTAAGAACACTAGATTCAGGAGACCAAGGGAGCTACGATTACAAGGAGATCGGACCAACTCCAATAAACTGGAAGCTGGCCTTCCAGTTCACAAGACCACACAGTATAAGTTGGGCTATCAACAAATTTAATGCATACAAATCCCCGGGGCCACATGGAATATATCCAATTCTGCTCCAGAAGAGTAAAGATGTGTTAATGAATATTCGGAGCATGCATTGCCTGGAGATATATCCCAGCAATATGGCAAAAGGCGGAAGTAGTCTACCTTGCCAAAGTAGGTAGGGCCACAGACCAAACGCCAAAGTCATATGGCCCCATAATTCTATCCTCCTTCCTACTTAAAACTCTAAAAATATTGAAAGATAGGCATATTAGGGACGAGATACTAAAAAGAAATCCGCTCCATCCCAACCAATATGCACTTTTTTAGATATCGAAGGAGCTTTCAACAATGTCCCAACCAGGTCAATAACCAAGGCTCTAGAAGAGAGAAACGTCCCAGTTACAATATACCAATGGATCACTGCCTGTCTAGAGAACAGGATCATTGTAGCTATTCTAGAAAAGGCAACCATATAGGCAAAAGTTACACGGGGCTGTGCACATGGAGGAATATTATCTCCAATGCTGTAGTCAGTTCTTGTGGACGACTTACTCAAAACATTGTCCACAGAAGGCTACCAGTACCTAGGATACGCAGACTACCTGGCCAGTTATCGTCAGGGGGCTATTTCCAAGTACAGTCTCGATGCGATCTCAAACAGCTCTAAACATAGTGAACAACTGGTGCAAAAAAGAACAATTGTCCATTAACGCACAAAAAACAACAGTTGTACCATTCACAAAAAACAGTTACCTAAAGGACTAAGTTCACTAGTACTAAACATCTATCTGAATTAGGGTATGATTCAAAGCCCACTCGTACCAAAAGCTCTAGGATTATTGTACCCCTCACAGTTTCTATCCTATCAGATTGATTTTCTTGATGAATTCAAGAATATGTTATTCCATTCGCCACAGAAGCCAAATACCTCGGAGTCATAATTAACCAAAGGCTGACGTGGAACTAACATCTTAAAAAACATGTAATAGCTCTCGTAAGTTGTAGACGAATATGTGGGAAAAACTGGGGCCTAAACCCCAAAATGACAATATGGTTATACACAAGGGCGACAAGACCCACCATAACATATGGCGAAGTAGCGTGGGTAACCAAAACTGCGCAGGTAAGTGCAATAGGTTAACTCACTGACATTTAGCAACTTGCCTGTCTAAGTGCTACTAGGGCCATGCGCACTACGCCAACTGCAGCAATGCAGATATTATTAAACCTGACGCCTCTGCACATCTTCATACAAGGAGAAACGAGGTCAGCTATTCACAGGCTAATGCAGGGACAAAACCTAATAAGCCAACTACATAACGCCGGCCTTACAAGGCTATATCAGCAAGATAATATTCTAGCAATGCCTTCTGATCGAGCCATAACCACATAGAGATTTGAAAGAAATTTTTAAATTTAAATACCAGACAGAGAATCCTGGTAACAGGTACCTCCCGTACAGGCTGAACTCTTCTGGTACACAGATCATTCAAAAACGAAGAAAGGAGCCGGTGCTGAAATCTAAAGACCCAAGTCGAAAACAATGATTTCGCGTTTAGGAAAATATGCAATAGTGTTCCAGACTGAACTTATAGCCATACCACACTGTGCAAGAGAAATATTTAGTCAGCAAGTATCAGGCAAAACTATTACCATATACTCTGATAGTCAGGTCTAAAGTAAATTCTCTCACCAGAAATCAAATTACGACTGGTGAAAGACTATCTAGAAGACCTAACAGAGCTAAAATGTCAAAACAAGGTGACTCTAGTCTGGGTGCCAGGCCATGAAGGATATCAGGGCAACGAAAGGCCTACGAATTAGCCCAAGAAGACTCAGGTAAGGCCATAACAGGCCCCGATCCCTTCTGTGGAGTTTCTAAAGCATCCATCAAACAATGGATGCAAGAAGAGTCTTAGGAATGGTGGAACAACTATCCAATACTGAGACATGCCAACCAGTTCATCAAGGAACCATCGGCCAAGTTCATGACAGACCTACTGGATCAAAAGGGTTAAATCGTTAGGACACTGGTCGCCTCAAAAGGCACATGAGTGTCATCAATCCAGCAGAAGAAGCAACTTTGTGCAGGTTCTGTGAAGCCAATGTGGAGCCAACGTGAAGGCCTAGCTGGAATGAGGTTTCTAACATTGGACAAAGAAAACGCAACTACATGCGACAGTCACTGTCAAAGCTACTAAGTCTAATAAGAAAGACCTAGCTAGATGACATACACTAAAACAAATGGAGTCTTACAATAGATCTGAAAGGTCGCGGTGGTCAAGGACAAACGACGCCCAACTCCTAATCTAATCTAATATATTTATCGGAACAATATTACTGTAATCAGTGTAGACATATAGCTCGCTTAAACCTTCTAATACCTTCTAGAAACGTACAGATGTTTCTTGACGTGGAATTACATTTCTAGACATTTCTCCTTTTACTCGCATCTTCACTTCTGACGACCGCAGCACACTGTAGGGTGATGAGTAACAGTATTATAAATATATCCATTAAAAATTTTCAAATTGTTTACCTGTAGAGCACTTATTTTTTTATGATATTGCATTTTTTTTTTTTTAATTTTATGAAGTAGTTACCGAATCTGATATTATTGTTCCCACAATTCCCCACAACGAGATTGTTATAATCCTGCCCATGACTACCGCTATGGATACTAATAGTTCAAAACCCTTTCGTTCTTTTTCTTTTACACTTCAATTTGCATTTATTTTTATGTCCGGAAAACTTTCCGTTCCTGGAAACGAATTCCGCAGGTTTTTATTTTTGTTTGACTATATTTTCCAATCGCAAAATATTAAATCAATTTAGCATGAAATAAATTTTAACTTTATTTTAAAAGAAAATATTGGTATTTCAAAATATTAGATCATCCTTAGGAAATCGTTTTACTCAGTGCCAGCTCGTGGCCTAGTCTACGGAGGAGCCCCAGCTAGCACTGGACGTCGTTTCATGTCATAATCACGTTGAATTTTGATCAAAAGTAACGTAATAATGACGTCATTTTTGGACCATGAAATAGAGAAAACACTAGAAGAAAAGATCTGCAACTCACTCTTTCTAGATGTAGCTCAGGCTTTCGATAAAGTATGGTTAGAGGGCCTCGAATATAAAATAAATAAACTTCTACCTAGACAATACTGTGACATCTTAAAATCTTACTTGACTGATAGAATCTTTCGAGTTAAACAAGAAGAAGAATATTACAAGCTTAAAGAAACTAAAGCAGGGATACCTCAAGGAAGTGTTCTGGGACCAGCTCTCTACCTGTTGTTTACTTTCGACATACCACAAACGCAAAATGTGAAAGCAGCCACATTTGCCGACAACACGGCCATACTTGCCATCGGTAAAACCATAGAAGAATCGACCAGAAAACTTCAACATGCAACTAATAAAATCTATGAGTGGACAAA